GTAAGTGGCAGAATCACCTCCCTCGACCCACTGACCACACTTCTTTTGATGCAGCCCAGAACCTGGTTAGCTTTTTTGGGCTGCAAACACACACTGTTGGCGTATGTTGATCTTATCATCCACCAACACATCCCAGTTCTTCTCCCCCAGGACTGTTTTCAACCCACTTATTACCCAGCCTGTATCTGTGCTTGGGATTTCCCCGGCCTAGGTGCAGGACCTTACACTTGGCCTTGCTGAACTTCATGAGGTTGGCCTGGGCTCACCTCTCCATCCAGTCCAGGTCCCTCTGGGTGGCACATCCCTTCTGCCCAGCATGTCAACCACACCACACAGCTTGGTGTCATCAGCAAACTTGCTGAGGGTGCACTCCATCCCACTATCCATACTGCCAACAAAGATACTAAACAGTACTGGTCCCAGTACCGGTCCCTGAGGGACACCACTTGTCACCAGTCTCCACTTGGACACTGAACCATTCACCACAACCCTCTGAGTAAAGCCTTCCAACCAATTCATTATCCACTGAGTGGTCCATCCATCAAATCTGTATCTTTCCAACTTGGAGATCAGGATGTCATGTGGGACAGTGTCAAAGGCCTTGCACAAGTCCAGGCAAGTGACATAGTCACTCTTCCCTTATCTATTGATGCTGTCACTCCATCCTAAAAGCCCACCAAATTTGTCAGACAGGATTGTCCCTTGGTGAAGCCATGTTGGTTGCCACCAATTATCCATGTGCCCTAGCAGATCCTGTCCTAGATTAGCTGATCTTTCCTAAGTAGAGTTCAGATCTATTCAGGATAGCTAAGCAAGACTTCACCCTTCCTTCTATAAGGTTCCTGATGGAGAACACAAAGAACCTCTTCCTCTCCCACTCCAACACACACATACAGAGTGCAGGCCTATGCCACAACTGATAGTTATGCTTGTGACTGATGATAACGTCATTGAAGGTCTAAAACATGGCAGTATGAAAGTCGCACTGTTCACAGCTTGAAATATTGTTCTCTGATTTAAAAAAGCCTAACAAAGCAGATGTGTTCCTTTTGCACTTACATAATGTGAAATTTTAGGTCAGGTCTGACCACAAATTAAGATGACGGCCCACAACAAAGGAGAAACAAAATTAGAAATAAAAATATAAGGTCACCGACTACACACCACTAGGATGACTATTTTACTTTTCTTGACCATAGAGGTTTTCATTCAACAGTTACAAGTTCTGCTGCATGAAGATTAAGCCTTTCCGACTGTCCATTCATGAACGGAGGGGACGGGAAAAAACACACAAGTATCCAGAACCACTGCAATGTATCTGGTGAAGAGTACCGAACACTGTAAAGCATGACAAAAGGAACCATTTCTAGGCTCATCAGAGCACTAAATGCTCTTTGCCATCCATTTGCTGAAACTAGAAAGGCACTTGGCTAATGCAAAGTTGGATAACTTTCTCGACCTCATTATCTATATATGTTGACTAAGAGCCACAAGATGAGACAGTCTAGAAGTTACTCCTGGGCAGAAGACCTAGACAACTATTGTGAGGTCCCACCACATCAGTGTAAGGCTATGCATGGCTTGGCTAAGTATGTAGCCAGCTTCAAGTCAAACTACTAATAAATGTTTTTAACAGCCCTTGCTAGGTAACTGTATCCAATAACCAGAAGTTTAGATAACACGGAAGGCTCCATGCCAGCATTATCCCATGTAACCCAGCTGCAGAGTTGCCACAGTGCGCAAGTCATACATCACCTCTTCCAAATCCATATGCCATCTAAGTGCCATATGTTGGCCACTGTTTTAAGCCTGTCTTCAAACCAAGATTAGTGTCTTTCTGGAAACAGACAAAACACAAAATTCACTGCTTCCTTTACTCAAAGCAAAACAAAAATGCACCATTTTTTAGTTGGTCTGCTTCCAGCTTTCCATTACTTCCCTGTCTTCCCCCCAGATTGAAAAGCCTATTTTAGTAGCCATTTCTGCTTTCTGAAGAAACATAGTCAATGTAATTACCACTTTATATTTTTCTTTTAAAACTCAAGACTGGGCTGCATAAGCAAAACCAAAGCCTGCATCTTAAGTATGGTACATACACTTTTGGGACCCCAAATGTCAAAGAGATATGGATAAGCAGGTCCAGTAGAGGACAACCAAGACAGCTGAGATCTGGAGAACATGACAGATGAGGCGAGACTAGTGAGTTGAATTTGTGTAGTATGAAGAATACATATCTAAGTAAGGAGAACTAAGTGTTCTCTACAACAACATAATCAGCATTCATAGAGAAGAAAAAGCTAGGCATTTTTCGGAAATGCAGAGTACACTGATGAGAGGAAATAGATACAGCTCACAGCAACAAATTCTAGATATATACAGAGAACATTTCTTTACCACAAGGATGGTCCAACACTGAAAGAGCTTGCTCAAGAGGGGTTGTGGAATCTCCAACCCCTGTCCACGTCAAACCTCACCTTCACAAACCCTGAAGAAACCTTATATAATTTTGCAATTACCCTCCTCTGAGAAAGATGTCAGACTAGATGACCTCCAGAGGTCCCTTTCCAACCCAAATTATCATCTTAACTTTGGAATTATTTAAAAAGCTTTTAAATCAACTTAAATGTTTTATTGATACAGGGTTGGGGGAGGGTGTAGTAGTTTTTTTAGAAAAAAGGCATTATCAAGGCATAATTGAATTATATGTATCAGGTATTTACATCAAGGGACTTTGTTCTAAGACAAATTATTTTTAAAAAATCCCAAAGTTTTATTTCCATTAAACCACCTCAGTGTTAATTCTAATATTATGATTTTGCATTTACTGAATCCCTCAGTTGTTCCTCCATTATTTTTCCTCAGGATTGACATGAGGCTAAATAGTTATTTAAAAAGGTCAAGCAGCATGACCTAGATAAAAAGTCTTCAAGGCCTTCTAGAATTTCTACTGTATTTTAGGTTACAAGGAGGCACATCTCAGAAAAGAAGCATTCTCAGCCAATTATCTTAGAACTCCTCATGCAGATTACAAAGACCTGCTTATACCCTTTGTTGAGAAATGTCTATCATGCACTCTCTAATATCTTCCAGATTTTAAGCCACCTACAAGATATAGTGTAATTTCACTTTTATCGAAAAAACCTGAAAATATTTACAGTAGTCTTCTGTCTTTTCTCTTTCATTATGAATCATGTTATCATTTTCATCTCCATGGCTATTATTTCTCAATTTTTAACAATCTTTGTTACCCTTTGCTTTACTAGTCAAGGTTTCCTCAGGAACATTTTGTCTCTTTTAATCAGTCTTCTAATATTTTTCATGCCTCACTCAACGCCATTTCTCCTCTACCATTCCCACAACTACACTTTAAAAAAAAAGTGGGAGGGGCCCTGAATTGCTTCCTTCATATTGCAATGAAAGCAAGACTGATTTTTAACAGAATTTACCCTTTATGGACAACCTTTATAGTTGTTAAATGTGATTTCTAACGTAATTTTTTGGGGGAAAATCTACCACACACCTATTTACACACTTTCTCACACACACACACACACACCCCACCTCCCATTTTTCTACTCTTTTTAGTCAGGGCATACATATAACTAGACTTCTAAATGACAAGCAAAATTGTGTCCCATATAAAGTTATCACTAAGAGAAAAGTTATCGAAGGTTTAAAAGTCAATGGGATATATACAGAAAGAAACTCATTTGGCCCAAGTTGCTGGCATGTATAATTTTATTTGCCTGTATCAATGCAGACGTATACCTTTCTCTATTATCATTAAACTCCCCCCGTCCTGACTATCAAACAATTACAGTTCTTTTCCCTAGCGTATTTACATCTTCACTATTAGCCTTAATTACAGTTCATTTCAAAATGGTTCCAATACTTTTAGTCCCTATCACTGCCATTTAAAACCTAAATAATCTACCTGCCTGCTTTACCCTTCTCCCTTTTTAGCTTTATTCTCTACAATTAATCTCATTTTTCCTTCAACCAGATCAGGCCCGTCTACTGGCAGTTCCACATCCGTACCTTGAGCTGCTGTCTACCTTTAAATGACCAAGTTTTCCTTGGCCTGTTCATGCATCTCCAATTATCTCCTTTCTCTAGATCAGACTTTCCAGATTCGATTTTCTTCTCTTACATTTCCTCTTTCCAGTCTCCCACCCTGTCACAACTTTGACTTGTAAAACAGAACAACGCAAATACATTTGTGCATAAATAGTACATCTGCCCATGCTGTCATTTCATATACTACATGCATAACAATACAGTATATTATGTAATAATATATACTTTAATTTTGTTAAAATTTGCTGCTTTAAGGCAAGCTTATTGTCTCTAGAGGGGGGAAAGATCAGATAAAACGTTTTTCTGATCTGCTTCCCTATTTACAAACACACCTCTTCACAATTTATGTAAGTCCACTCGAGAACATGCTTTTATACCAAAAGATACGTGGACAACAGTTCAGTGTCCAATACTTTTACAGCTTTGCCATCTCAAGAAGAATTCAAACTACAACAAAGATATTGAAGTTTCTTCATAATACCACGAAGCCAAAACCAATGCTGGATTTAACTTTTATAATTCTGCACTCTTTTCAGGGGTAAGCTCACCTTATTGCTGATCCTCCATGTGCATCAACTGATGTCACTATAGAGACAAAAATAACACAGTAGCAAAACAGTAGAGGTTTGAACCAAACAAAACCAGTAACATCAGCAGCAAAAAATACATACTCAAATTTCTAATATTTTTAACGTCTTCAGTTTTACTTCAGTAAACATTTTACAGTTAATGTTCCCCATAACAACAGCAACCCAAAAATAATTACAGCAAGAACAAATTACTTCCGGGCTTCCCAGAAAACACCTCTTGTATTTAAATTTAAATCCTGGCATTATGCCAAAGTGGGGGATGGACACCTAAGTGGAAAAATAACTTCAAAGGCCTCTAAAACATTAATGCAGAAAATGAGATGCTGCTCTTACCTGGCAAGAAGGTGGGCACGTGCAAAATGAGTTTCCTCCTCTGAGTAAGCCACTGACGTGTAGCTCATTTGCATAAGTATCACAAGCTACAAGTAGACTTCCAGGTCAGCCATTTTGATACTAAAATCTTGTTTTGTTTACCTAACAGCACGAGTACTGTTTTTTAGCCAGCCTGAGCTATGCTGTTGTACCTCTCAGCTAGTAGTCTACATCTGCTTGTTAAAGCCTGCTAGAACTCCCACTTCTCCACACAAGTGGCTGAACGTGTCAGGAGTGCCCCTGCAGCACGCTGAGCATGCCACAGCCTCCCAGGGAACGTTGCAAGTGCAAGTGCCTCCAGTCGGACTCTTTGTGCTGCCTTATGTGCTGCCAACTATTAGCACTGCAGCAACTATGTGCAGTGAAGTACCTCCCACATACCACACAGTAGTACCAACAACCATACATTTATTACAGCACAGCGCAAGACAGCACATGCACAAAAAAAAGCTGAAATTTCCTCTGTGTTTTCACTTACTATCAATCTAATTACACCTAGGTTGCTTTGTGCATCTTTCCACATTCATCAGTGCAGCTCTTTCGGTCCAGAAACCACAGTACTCCTGCAGTCCATGCACAGAAGTCCATGACACGTGTTAGTTGCTGCCGACACAGAGCCAGACTGCAGTTACAGCTAGCTGGCGCCAGTAAAAATTTACATACAGGGGGCCTCACTTCAAGACTAAACTGCAGCAGGATATTGCTGAGCAAAGCCTCCCGACGCCACCCCCCTACCCACCCCCACCCCGTGAGACCACTATAGATTCTAGAACATATCCTACAGTTATTTGCTTACTAATAATCCAGATCCATGTCAGAAGTGCTACCTTTACTGTTTATATAAATGAAAATTGACAGTAGTCTCTTGCAAAACAAATTCCACCTTGAAGCCTGTTCCCAGGTAAGATGCTACATGCTGCACTGTTCACAAGAGATTCTGGTGAGCTCTGTGTGGTTAACACCGAAGAAATGGGTATGCTCAGTGCTCGGCAACCAGCTTTTTTAAAACTGGTATTTCCAGTATTTTGCAGCCTACCAATAAGTATCAGTCCCAACTGGAACAGATCAATCCATTTTTAACCTAATGCTGACAGGTAACATATCTGGCCATTTAATTTGCTGTTTCAAATTTAATTTTTCTTCATTAGTCAGACAAAGACAAGAATTCCCCATTCTGAGCTGTGGACTTTATCTTTTCAACTACCTAAAAGGTACAATGACAGGTACAGACAGAAGCTTGGATTTCAGCCTCACTCTGACTTCAGATAGTTTCTTGATTCTTACGTTTTTTCTTCCAAAGTCCAATTACATTAATAAATAAATTACATTTTACAAATGCTTATTCTAGAAGTCACTGTACTATTCTGGGGGAAAAAAGGAAGCCAGGCTTTGCTTACTATTAAGTGTACGTATGTAAAGGATGAATCATTTGCCAATACCTTTCTCCCCTCATTGGCTGCCTTATAAGAAACTCAGAGCATGAAAAACTCAATGCAAATAAACATACTATTTGTTATACTAAACTATAAGCATGAATTTGAGGAACCCTAAATAAAATCAAGTTAAACCCACAATAATGTTTGGCTAGCTACACAACTAGCAACACTGCTGTAGTTGCAGCCTGGCACCATGTAGTGGAAAAGGAAAGATGGAGATGGTGATTCTTGTCAATTCCAGCAGTACAAGGCAGAGTGGCTCAGATTCATAAGAGTCTGCTTTTCACCACAGGCCTCTTCTAGTTCCCTGCACTGTTCCTCTTTAGAATGCCAACAGCATCAAGGCTATATATAGTCAAATTACTTTGTATGTCCCCTTTTCCACTGTAATTTGCTGTACAGCTGGTTCTAGGTTATTTGAGCATAACACAATTTGCTCATCTGTAATGTCAAAACCATACCTATTTTGTGTCTGAAATTATTTAGTAATGCAAATTACTCTTCACTGGTTGTTACAATTCATCCTCAGCTGTTGTATTCAAAAGCCTAAAGTGATGTGTAAGGGAAAAATAATTATTTTTCCCAAATGACTGTCATATTAAAACGACAGTCATTAACTATAAAAGTGATCTGGTACTGCTCTTCTTTTATGTCACGTATATCTTGATTTATGTTACTTTCAGACAGATTTGTGTATGTTAGCACATTTAAGCGCTGTGCAGAATACATCTTTCAGTGATGCTGTTGTCATTTGCAGAATGAATCATCAGATGAACAGCCTCTGAGCTTAAAAATAAAGGGCACCAATGCTGCTTTAAGAAAAGCAAACCAAAAAAACCCTTCTGTTTTCCACATACAGCTGCCACCACCTCCCCCCAGCTCTACAGACTTGTGCACAAATACCAGATTAATAGTATGATTCTCAACACAGTGAAATAAATACTGCAAAATAAAAGCCTTTACTTGGAACACTTTCTATTCTTGGCTCCAGTGTGCTCACTGAAGGCCAGGCCAGAGTTTGCCCCTAGCCTTGATGGGGAGATCCCCATCTGCCATCCGGGGGAGGCACCACCCTGATTCCAGAACGTTCTGCAGAGTCACTCCCCCCCCCCGCATTAATTCAGCAGTCCATTCCAGTTTGTTTCAAATCCTGCCTGAAATTGTTTGCTCCCAAAATATCTGTCAAAATAGAAGACGTTTCTGTGCAAATTGAGACAATTCTGACTATTAAGAGGAACATAAAAAAACCCAAGCTGCCTTAGAATGGTTCTAACCAAGTACAATTTAGTAATGAAAAACACATCCAAATAGTTGGAGCACAAATGAAAATAAAGTAAAATATTTTTCTTATAATCAAATACACCATTTGCAAAAAAAATGGTTGAAAAAAATGGGAATCAATACACTCCTTCAGAGTAAGCGATTGTTGGGTATTTCTCTTTGAAAACCATGTGTATTTGAGGTTGCTATCCCATTAGCAATTTATTTACTTCTGAAAGCCTATCCTTCAAGTTTACTCATCAGCAGCACAAAGCTAATTGTTCTAGAATGCAGCAGGTCTCAGAAGTTAAGAAAATGCAGATGGGAGAACACTAAGCAGAGTCTGACAATGCATCTCGCATTAAAAATGTATAGCTAACATTCAGTTGAAGTTGTTAATTTATTATATACAACTATTTATAATTCAAATCATGAACATCTAATTTATGTATTTAATATAATGGTTTTTTTTTAGCATCCACTGAAGTGCCTTGTTCCCATGCAGATAAATTGGTGTTTTCAATTTTCTTTTTGACTAAAGAACAAACTATTAACACCATGGAAGGGAACAGAGAAGAGATCATGCTGTCAGCTACCAGTACTACTGTACAACTTGGACTTCTGGAATCAGGGATGTGTTCCATATGCAACACAGGTTTCAAAACCCACCACACTTTATGCATTCCAACACCCACTTTAGGAAAGAAAAAAGAAAACAACCAGCCAAAAAAACCCCAAAACAAAACACCAAACCCAAACCTCTCCACCCACCCAGCTCATACAACAAAACAGTACAGCTCCCTACTGGGCCAGTCATTTTGTACAGCACTTTCAAGAATGATACTGTTTTCAAAATGGCCTGTAAAGAGCAAAGTAAGCCAAAAATAAAGGGAAGACACCAAAACAAGAGCTTTCCTCTGAACTCTGGCAATCTCTGTGCCTTTTCTGTAAAATGGGAGTAAGCTTACTCAGCTCACAGAAAGATAGGCAACAAAGTCACAAAACGGACTGTATGAAAGAGGTGGTGTGAACATACAATATTTTACTCAATTGTAATATATATGAAGAACCAGTCCTTACAGTGAATGTCAAAAAATACGCTACTTTTCATGTTCCCATTAACGAGCGGGTTAAGAAAAACACCCAAACCCAACAGAACCAATAGCACTTGACAATTTCTATACGCCTACTGCTTTATAACACTTTCATATGCTCCTTGGAAACAAAAAAAAAAAACACAACCCCAAAACAGAAAACAAGAGACTCAAAACCAAAAAGCAAACAAAGCCATCACAGGATATGTATGGTAAAGTATGTTTTAGACATAAAATTTCATCCCCTTCAATGATTAGAAAGTAGGACTTCGGTGATCTCATTATAAAAAATGAATTGTTTCTGCTTGTTTTGAATAATGAGTTATTAACATCTGGAATTAACAACAATGACTAAAAGCCAAACAAACACAAACCTCAGTAATCATTTTGGGTTCAGAATGACTTGACTCACAAGTATCTTGCAAAAAACCAGTAAGATATTGTTTGAGGGATGGGAAGGAGGAAATATCACCACATTATTAATCTGCATTCATTAGATGAGATAGATATATAGCAAAACAATATTTTCTCAATATAAATGCATTTAAGTAGAATTTGTTGTCCGAGTTTTCAGACATTCTTAAGTGCCCAAATGTTCTCAGGATCTTAAAATAACTTAATCAAGAAAAGCCACTATGAACTAAAATCTGCCTTAAATCCACTAAAAATTCCACTAACAGTAAAACAAGTAATAAAACTACCTACCTGCATTTCATCATCACCTGTGATCACCCATTCACATTATTCCTGTCACTGATATTTTATCCTAAAGCAGGAAAATCCTATGACCAATTACTTATAAATTTACAGTTTACTCAACTCAGCAACCTGATCTTAAAATCCTGTATTTTTTTTTAATCTCCTCATATCAAATGCACACAGTAAACATGGAGAAACCATGTTTCCTGAGAACCTGATATGCACTATCTACCTAGAATAGTCTTTATTAACGATGTATTGTCATTAACTATAGATCATTTACGGGAACAGATATTTAAAAACTAATGTAACCACCAAGTGCTTAGTTACAGAGTAAGCCAGAAGCACCAAGTTAATGTGCAAAAATATTGACGAAAGACTAAAATTTTAGGTGCTTAGTACCGACTTTCACATCCTTAGCACTAAGTTCAACTTCAGACATAAAAATACTATGAGCTACATCCTGATGAGTTATCCAGCTCTTCTGCTGCTCCTGATATGTTCTGGAAAACTTTGAGTAACTCCCGATTTAGTTACTCTCAAATGAACTCATATCCAGCTTAGGATCCCATAAAGACCTTAACTAGGTATTTAAGACACTAAACCAAGAAAATGTGCAAGTCATGAGGAAAAATATAATCTCTCTCCTCCTTTTCTGTTCTCGCCCTCCTTAATGGAAAAAAACTAAGCACTGCTTTTTTTCCCACCTTCATGTCCCTGGACACTCACACCTATCAGCTACCTTTTAG